CTTCGTACCTTTGGTGCCCCTCCAAGTTAAAAGAGGCGATCCCCTTCGACATCTCGCTGGTGATCGCGATGGAAAAGTTCGTTTGCAACGACAACCACACCAAGCCCGCTCGGATCTTCATATGGTGGGTCCTGTGCATGATCTTCGCTTCTCTGAGGTTTGATGACGCGATTCACGTTAAGCCTCACGAGATTTGGTGTCTCGTGGCAAACGAAGACAGAGAGGAAACGTCGAGGCACCAAGTTCGTGGTCCCCGACGTCTCATTCTGTAAGTGCCCTTGGTTCCGTGACGGCCTTGAACTGTTCGAGCTGGAGTTCCCACTGGTCGAGCGCGACTACTGGATCCCTGAGCTCGACTCCAAGACAGCTTGGCGCTCGAGCCCGCCAGAATACGCTAGATCGCTGGCATGGCTCCACCACTTGGTCTTCGTGGCGGGCAAGGAAGACAACGTCGACATGTCTGTCTTGAACCCGGTCACCGATCTCACGTCGCATTCGGCACGTGCGACAATGCTGGATCAAGCAGTTCATTTTGACCGCAGCGCTCAGGAGATCGGGGTGCAAGCGAACTGGAAAAATCCGGGCCCGCTCGTGCTCAAGTACACGCGCTCGCGCAGCTCTCTTCCTGCCAAGATGATCAAAGAGCTGGTGCAGGAGATCTCGCGCGAGTTCACGCCCGAGTGTGCTAACGAGGACGACGAGATCGACGACCACGAAGATCGAGGCGTGACTCTCGCAGAGTTCTTCGTTAAAGCTCCTGAGAAGGGATCGAGCTATGATTATAAGTTTCATGTTTGTTCGAGTGAGTCTGTCGAGGAGATCGCTTGCAAACGGGCGATCACCCCGGAGTTTGTGCACATCGGTTCAGTCCTTCCTGATCCGAAGTTGCTTTGCAAGCTCTGTGCTCGCGCTCGTCCAGACGTGGCTCTTGCTTTTAGGGTCTAAAGAGTGTGAGCTCTGTTCTGAGGTGCTGTCGTGTGCCTTGGCTTCGCGCTCGTGCTGCCGAAAGTGTTTGCTCAAGCGCAATAGCTGTTATCAAGATGGTCGACCGTACTGTCTACCCCAACAAAGACAAGGTTCCAGAGCTGGCGCTGCGCCAGATCTTCGGACGCCAAAAGCTTCCCGAGGCGCTCTGCCTGCTCATGGCCGACAAAGGGATGCTGCTGGTCGAAAGAATGGCTATGCTCGGTGATAGCATTGCCTCGGTCAAGGCAACTTTGAAAGCAATCGTCGGCGATGACAACCAGTTCGGCCCAGATGCTCCTGCACAAGAACTTTCTCTCACTCTTCTCACGGCCGTTTGGAAGTCATGTTCGGTTCTGCAAGAACATTTCTCCGCTCGAAGGGCCAGGATGGAAGAAGATCCGTCCAAGATCCCCGAGATCCCGGGAGAAGACCACGCCGAGTTCAGGGAGATCTTCGTGAACCACCACCCGGACGTTATCCTCACCTACATGCGAGAGCCTCATCGCAAGTTCGTGGAGCGGATTCATCGGGACTATGTGACTATCTAGTTCATGGTGCAGTTTCGTTCTACGAGGTCGCTGAGATGCGCACTCGAGCCGATCGGATCGTGCAGACCTCGGGTTTCTCTAAAACATCAGACGATCTCCTGAGGGTGGTGCAATCCGACAACAAAGTCTCGATCGCCTCCGACTCCGACGTGATGGATTGTCTTCATGCTTTCTTCATCGCCCTCGAGTATCTCAATATATGCGACTTCACGATCGAGGCAGGCCCGCTCAAGTACCTCTCGGAGCTCGAGGAATGGCGCCATGACAATCGCGGCTTGGCAGTTCTGCTGGCGGCTGACTCTCTTATTCGCAAGAAGGTCTACAAGCTCAACAACGACAAGCGCAANNACTTTCCATCTTTCTCAACCGCTCTCGATCAAGGAGGTGCTCACACACCACAAGCAGCTCTGGAACGATGCACGATCGACAGCAGAGCTCGAGAAGTTCCGCCAGGCAGAGCACGAGGTCTCGACTCCCGCGAAAAGGCCTCGATCTACCTCTCCGACTACCGCTCCGACGCCGCCTAAGAACGAAGCTCGTTCTCGGAAGAACAAAGCTCGCCGCGAAAAGAACAAGGCTTTGCTCAAGAAGCTCAGCGATGATCTCAAGGACAAGGAGAAACCGACTAAACCCTCGGTCAAGCTCACCGAGAAAGTGGAGCGCGATCAGCGCGTGCCCGAGAAAGAATGGAAGAAGATCATGTCCTTCTCCTATACGGGTGCTCGCCGCTGTCCGCTCTACAACTGCTCGCTGGGATGTCGCTTCGGGGATCAATGCCGAAACAAGCACGTCTGCGGGCAGTGCGGGGGCGATCACCTGTGGCACAATAACCATTGAGTGCTCGCGCCGCCGCCGGGGGATTTCGGTCTGGATCCTTCGGCGCCTTCACTTGACAGACCCCCTGGCGATTTTGCAATTCAGCCAGGGATTGCAACAAAGGCAGCGAATGACGCTCCAGTTCAGGAGCCGACAGCTGCTGAGCTTTGCTCGCCTCCTCCGTGGGCATCTTGGTCTCAGGTGCCCCGTGACCCAGATCTAGTGAAAGGTCTTGGTCCTTGGTGCCTCGAGATCTTCTCTGGAACTGCAGGCATCTCGGCACAATGGCAACAACAGGGTCTTTTGGTTTTGCCACCGATCGACGTCACATGCTCTGGCGTCGTTCTGGAGCCGGTTGACATCCTGGACGCATCGATCTTCGAGTTTGTCAAACTGCTCTGCAGAATGGGGGCTATCGTCTTCCTGCACCTGGGCACGCCATGCTCTTCTTTCAGCTTGGCTCGCTCTCGCCCTGGAGGGCCGCCGCCGCTTCGCTCCGCAGCGGAGCCGCTCGGCTTGACAAAATTGCTCTGAGGACCACCAATGGCAGGTCACTCTCGCGAATGAGCTTCTCTTTCGTTCTCTCGAGCTCTTCGCGGCAGTGGTTCAATCGGGGGGTGATGCTTCTATCGAGAATCCTCGATCGAGTCTCCTTTGGCAAGTTCCACAGGTACAACAGCTCAAGATCCAGCTCCACCTTTACAATGTTGACGTGGACCAGTGTCAGTTCGGCTCTGCCTTTCGCAAGCCTACTCGTTTTCTGGTCAGCGATGCTCGCTTTCTGACTTTAGCTCGATCTTGCGATGGCTCACATCAACATTCGCCTCTTAAAGGACGGCTCCGTTTGCCTTGGGGCGAGGTGGTGTTCATGACCAAGATCGCCCAGGAGTACCCCAACGCGCTCTGTGTGCTCTTCTCGGAGATCACCCATGCGGTCGTGTTCGGCATCTTCCCCCAGTTCGAAGCGTCTTTCAAATTGGTCGCGCCCATGAGCGACCGCAAACGCCAGCTCGGCGATGCGGTTGCTTGGCAAGGACATCGACAGGAGCAAGCCGCTCAGCTTGCGTGCTCCAGCGGCTATCAGCTCAAGCGCGGAGCGGCCAAGCCGCTGCTCGATGTCGAATGTGAACCGGGGGTAGCGATCAAGTGGACGCTCCAAGTTCCACATCCTTTCACTGTTCAGCCATCTCTGCCGGACTCGATCCTGCAGAACATCAAGACGATCGTTGCCGAGCCAGATCTTCTTCAACAACGTCGACATGCTCGTCTAGACTTCTGGCGACAGCGGGCTCATGCGCTTTTGCCAACAACAGATCAGGAACTCAGAGCCATTCAAGATCCATGTTTGCGACGCCTTCTTCGAGGCGTTCCTGACCATGTGGATCTGCAGCTCGGCTCTTGTGCGCACGTCAAGCTCTACGACGAGCTCTTCGCGGCAGTCGGCTCCGTGGACCCGCTCTTGCTCCAAGGCATCCGCGACGGTTTCCCGATCGTGGGGAACATCCAGCGATCAGGCAGATGGCCGCCGTTCTCCAAACCACAGCCAACGGTACCAGTTCAAGATGCTCTTAATCGGGCCTGGGAGTTTCGCTCGAAAATTTTTCGTCGTTGTAATGCTGTTCCAGTCTCGGATAATCTCAGGTCCTTATGGAAAGCGGAAAGCGACGATGGAAGATGTGTTCGAGGGCTCTACTGTGGGGCCGTTCGGCTCCGAGGACGAGGTTTCTGAGTTCTTGGGCTGCTCGGACTGGATCCCGACTCAGCGCTTTGAGGTGGTTCAAAAGAACAAAGTTCGAGGCTGTGACAGTGCTACATCTAATTTGATCAACAAGACGGCGGTGATCACCGAGAAGCTCCAGCTGGTGTCTACGGATCTCAACGTTGCTGTTCTGCGGGAGCTGCGGACGCGTGGCGGCGATCGCGCTCTGGCAGGATGGGTTCTGGATGAGAGAAAAGCCTATCAGCAACTTCCCATTCGTCCTGACCACCGGAAGTTCAGCGTGATCTGCTTGAAGGATCCTGAGGATGGGGTGCCGAAGTACCTCTTACCTCGTCATGATCGGGCACTCCTTCGGCCTGGTCGCGGCAGTCTACAACTACAATCGCCGCTCGGCTTTCATTAACTATGTTCTGATTAAGATCTTCGAGATGGTCGCCTTCAACTTCTACGATGACAAGTACGGCTT